AAATCCAATAAAGCGCATAGAGATAATGATGAAAATAAAATGTTGACAAAAGAAAAAACCTAAATGGACAGACATGCCATGGTCATAGATTAGATGACTCAACTCAGCAAAGATGCCAATTGTCCCCCTTCACAAGAGCCATCTTAATCCTGTTTCCCCTCTGCAGCTGCCTAGAATGGGTCCAGACTGCTGTTACCCTATCCCCAGGTACAACCCCATGAGACCCTGCAGGGCAGCCTTCTGGCAATTGTATGCGTAAGAGTAACTGCTTCAGCATATGCAGAATGTTTAAGGGGCACACAAAAAATAGGGAGCACAGGGAATTCTGCCCATTACAGTCCCACAGGAGGCCTGGGGTGGCACTGCAGGATATGCACTGGACTGCAACGTTGGTTTGAACTGCAAGGTTGGCAGCTCAAGCTCACCAGCCGCTCCTCAGAAACCCTATACAGGGTCACTGGCAGTTGGAACTGACTCGATGGCACTTAACAACAATCTATCAAACTTACAATTCTTCTTTAAACAAACTGCATTTTATCCATGTCCTCCCTAAAAGAATGCAACCCAACAGTACAATATTCTACTTCAGTGAAAACAGAGCGGGGCTATTTCTTCTCTAATAATGGTGGTGGTGTGCCATGGAGTCGGTTCCGACTCACAGTCACCCTGTATAGGGTTTCTGAAATGGGAGCAGAAAGCCTCATCTTTCTCCCACGTAATGGCTGGTAGTTTCGAACTGCTTACTCTAAGATTAGCAGCCCGACTTGTAACCACTATGTTACCAGAGCTCCTTTCTCTAATGATAGATGTAACTAACCATTCAGGCTACAAATCAGTTTAAACTCCTGCTTTAATTCTTACTTTGACATCAATCAAGGCATTTTGTGTCTAATTATAACATCTATTGGCTATGCATCCTTTAAGCCACTGGATCACGTCACAGCTTCATTTCTCTCAAGGATGACAGTCTACAAACTGTTCTCTAATTCCAGTTCGTTTAAAAACAAAACAAAAAAAACCCTCTGTATCTATAGAATTAAGGGAACCCTGGTACTGTAGTGCTTACATGTTGGGCTGCTAACTGCAAGGTCAGTAGTTAGAATCTACCAGCCATGCCACAGGAGAAAGATGAGGCTTTCTATTTTGTTAAGATTTAGTCTCAGAAACCCTATACAGGGTCGTTGAGTCGGAATGAACTCGATAGCACACAATTACCACCACCTGTAGGATTAAATACCAGTCCTTATTATGGAATCTCAGCTATCCTCCCAGACTTCTCTTGCCACCTTAGGCCTTTGATTCTTTCTCACTTATCACTCCCACCACCATCATCTTGGTGAACACCCAAACACACTATTCTTCCAACTAGAGTGCCTTTACAAGTTTTTCCTTTCTGCTTCAGATGCCAGTTCTTCTAAACTTATCAATTTTATCAATTTGTAATTCATATTTTAAGATCCAACTCAAGGAATGACCTCCTGAGATCTTTAGGCAGATTTACTATCAATTTCTACCACTTATGGCAATGTAGGTAAAGGAGCCCTGATAGCATAGTGGAGTATGAGCTTAGCTGCTAACTGCAAGGTCAGCAGTTAGAATCTACCAGCCACACGATGGAAGAAAGGTGGCTTTCTGCTCCCGTAAAGACTGACAACCTCGGGAACCTTATACTGTGTTGCTATGAGTCGGAACCAACTCCACAGCACATAACCACCACCACCATGCCAAGGTAGGTAATTATCTACATCTGGGACTTCCTCTTAGCCTCTACTCCTCCCAGGAGCACTATGGCTAAGGGAAAGGACTCTGGTGAAACAGGATGGACTAGAGTCCTGGGTAGACTAGCCACTAGCCAGGACAAGTTCACATTTCATGAACCTCAGTCTCCTCATCTGTAAAGTAAAAATGATCATAATACCCACATCATAAGTCTGATGTATAGATTAAATGATAATAAATGTATATAATGTTGTTGTTAAATTTCATTGAGTTGACTCTGACTCATAGTGACTGAGGAGCACCTGGTGGGTTTGAACCGCTAAGTCTCAATAAATATCAACTATTCTCATTATCATCACCCAAATTCTCTCTTCCCTGCAACTACAAGGTCTAGTACAAAGTAGGCATTCAGTGTTTGCCCACAAAGTTTTAGAATACTACGGTCCTTATCTATTTTAACAGAGTGAGGGTCTTTACACAACTTTTACTTCACAGTTCAAGGGACAAAAGCCAATACTGAAATCTTATTATTAGAATCCACACCTCTCTAGAATTAAGGTAGCTTTGTCACTTTTGTGAAAGGCCAGGGTTTTTTTTTTTGTTGTTTTTTTAATGTCTTATTGTGAATAATGTGATAGTTTACATTGGAGAACATTAGTTTTACATTCATTCTATGTATATCGTTTCACTGCTATGGTTACAATCCCCTCCATGCATCATCAACCAACCAAAGGGTATATCCTACAAGTCTGCAACCCCCTCGTCAGCACACAGCCACTCCCCCTCTCTGTGTCTAAAGTTCCCAGCTGCTCCATCTCAGGCATCACTGCTTCTCTGGGTAGGGTCCCGCTCTCTGCTCTTCTCCATTCAAGGTCCCAGGACCTCCACTCATAGACTGCAAAGTTAATCACTCCCCTCCTTGCCACAAAATGTCTACCTTTACATTTCCAACCCTCACAATCAGTCTGCTAACAATTATTCACCATTATATCACAAGAGACCTATCTGCATTTCCTTTCATCAGTCCGGGAAAGGCCAGGTTTTATATATATAAATTTATGATGCTACTGTCCTTTGTTGTTGTTAGGTGCCATCGAGTCGGCACTGACTCATAGCGACCCTATGCACAACAGAATTTAACACTGCCCAGTCCTGGGCCAACCTCACAATTGTTGCCACACTTGAGCCCATTGATGCTGCCACTTTGCCAATCCATCTCACTGGGGGTCTTCTTTAGAGGATAAGAAACAGAGATGCTCAACTGATACTCAACAAATAAAGGAAACAAGATGAAATTGTTCTAGAGAAAATTATATATCTGCACTCACTCAATCCAACAGTTAACGTGCACATGTGATGTGCAGGTACCACTATGCTTGGGATCAGATACAAAGAATATAAGAAAGGGCAGTTATCACAGTTACAATGAAGTCTGAATTTAAATGACCAGAATCACAGGAAGCCCCTTTCCTCCTCCACTGAACAGTATGTAGTTAAACATATAGAAAGTAAAAGTAAAATGAATTCATCAAATCTCATGCAAGAAAAAAAATACACACATGGAACTTTCAGTTTTTTATTTTGTTTCAGACAGCTGGATAAGGTATCTATATTCTTCTAGAATATCTTAACAATCACTAACGAAAGTGAAAGGTTACTTATATATAAGGTAAAAGGTCATGATTGTCTTAACAGGGAATTTAAATTCCCAAATAAATTATCTTACAAAAATATCAAACTTGCTTTTCCAAATACTATTCTACTAGTTTAAAAAAAAAAAAATGTAATTTCACATTAAAAAAAAAAAATCTGTAGGTTGGTGTATCAAGTTAAGAGCATAATTTTTACAAACTAAGTTAAGTCCTTCAAATAAATATTTTACATAAATTTAAGGTTTCAAAAAAAAAGAGAGATCAAGTATTTACCCTATATGTCTTGTCCACTTAAAGACCATTTATGAACCTGAACGGCACATGATATGCTATAAATAGTACAGATATCCCTAGTTATTAATTAGTTCCTTGACATGCCCACCATGGATTTATCTAAGAATGCTCAAGTCCCTTACATAAAATGCTGTATTACTATTTGCACATAACATATGCAAATCCTCCCATATACTTTAAATCATCTCAAGATTATTTCCATAATACCTAATACAATATAAATGCTATATAAATAGCACTGTATGCTCCCTGTTAGCCCTTGAGAGACTGATTGCTTTTTATGAGCCATTTTTTCACAGAAACAAAGGGTGCACACAACACAAGTAGCATTCGAGCTATGAAGTATCAAACAATGCTCACTCAAACAAGGAGTACTAAGAGAGAGACTAAGGATCTGTGAAATGGCGGACGACTACAGCAGAGGATGGCTGCACATCACTGTATTCCCGTGGATTTCAGCGTAGGGCTTGGTGTGCAGCAAATTTTCCTTTCTGGGATTTCTTTTTCCCTTAATATTTTCAATCTGAACTTAACTGAAACCAACGATGTGGAACCCAAGGATACGAAGGGCCTACTGTACACGCATATCACTGAGGCTAGATGTCCACATGTGCATATCATATACATGTGAAACTGCTAATACTGCTGAGCACATGACAAAATTACTTCAAAAAGTAGTTTCACCCTGTAAAAATCCTCTAACCTATCTTGAATTGAATGATCAAGAAAGAACAAAAGAAAATATTGTGACTATATACACATTCGCATTTAAAAAATTTTTAAATTACAAAGCTTCTGGGTCTTAAAAAGACTATTGAACATGAGATAAAAGTCAACACTGTTTAAAAAAAAATATCTGAATATGGAAGGCACATTCAACACTCTCATGTAGAGAACATGTGAGTGAGCATATGTTGTAAAACTCTGTCTTCTAACTAGTCTATTCTTGTTGTTTTATATTACTTTAATGTGATCTTTTAATGATGGAGATTTAGCAAAATAGAATTACATTACACTTCTCTGTTCTAGTAAATAACTTTAAAAAAAAAGTATAAACGCCTTTTTGTATCTATTAATATTCTTAAGACCAGTTTGATTTTTATTGTGATATTTCAATGAACACTATCTTACAAATAAAATGGACTGTGTTATGGTTTTGTCCACAAAATTCAAGTATTTTATTGCTAACATATTCAAAAAATGAATCTAGTAAATACTTTCCATTTCCAATTGCCTATCTGAGAGATGAATCCAACTTTCTATCAACTAGAATTTAACGGGGTTGAGGACAGCATCATTTAAAAACCTGCACACCAAAGTCAGTCATCCAAAAATCTAAAATACTAACACTTTCCAACCAGGATAGAAAAATGAGCATCCAAAGTAAAGAGAACCACATGACTGATCAAGCAACCAATCAAAAACCACTTCTCTATTATTGGAGCTAATAGTTACTCGAAGCTTGAAGTTTCCGCCTTCATTATTATTGATGGTTCCTAGAGTCACAGCTTCAATGTCAAAAGTGACAGTGGACCCAGAAGTAACTGCGGGTAACTGATTAGTCATTTCTTTTCCATTTACAAAAACCGCACCTAAAATGTTAAGGTAAAGAGTCATTTACATATGAGTAATAACTGTCAGAGAATTGAAACATTTTCTAGATTAGCACAAATTGGTTGCACAGCTAACATCTTTTTCTTTTTGTAAAAACATTCTACTATGCTTTTGGTAAACATGAAAACAGCAAAACCCAATCCCATTTAACAATTTCTATAGGTAATGTTCACTGACACTGAGTAGGTAACTGCTAATTCTTAAATTCAGATAAAGAAAACCTTTTCCGATGCTAACTAGTCAGAAAGAATACAATTAAGTAGGTTAATTAATCTTCCATTCTCTTGGTAGGAAGAAAAGTTAAAGTCTTTAACACATTTTAGAGTTCAAGATTCTACTCTTTTCAGAGGATAGCATCAAAAGAAACTTGACTCCCTTCCAAATTTGCACACAATAGCAAGATTGGTTCATGTAGATACACAATGATCTTGTCCTTTCTAATGTTTGACCCAACACCACAAAACACTAACATTTCTTAGCAGGTATTTTTAAAATGTGAAGACTGGCAAGCAAATAAAAAAATTAGTAGCTGTATATTGTTGTTAAATGCCATCAATCAGTTTCAACTCAGAGCAACCCTGTGTAGGGTCTCTGTGGAGCAGCTGGTGGGTTCAAACTGCCAGCCTTGTGGTTAGCAGTCCACTGCTTATCCTATAATGTTAGAGAAACAGAGTAAGTAAATGCTCTGCCTAGTTTCCTGATCTATGAGTATGCTGAACTTAGATGGCACATGCATGCACCCAGGCACACAGAATTCAGAGGTAGACTATAGTTGTTGGGTGCCATTGAGTCCACTTCCAGTTCACGGCAATCCCCTGTGACAGTGCAAAATTGCTCCATAAAGTTTTCAAGGCTGTAATCTTTCCTGGAGAAGACTGCCAGGGCTTTCTCTTGTGGAACTGCTGGATGGGTTCAAACCCTCAACCTTTCAGTTAGCAGTCAAGAGCATAACCAATACAACACCAGGGTTGTTAAAAGGCAGACTGCTTGGTTCAAATCCCAGCAGTCACTTAACCTCTGCCTTAGTTTTTATCATCTGTAAAATGGGTATAATAATAGTCCTTGAGTGAGTTACTAGAAGGATTTAGAACAATGCAGGGTACATAGTAGTCCTATAAACATATCATTAAGACCCAAATCTTCTCATCTCCTACTGTAAATATGTGATACTGCAACAGGTTAATATCTTAGTATGTTGTTGATTAAGTGCCGTCGAGTCTGTTCTGATTCATGGTGACCCCGTATAGGGTTTCTAGGGAGTGGCTGGTGAGTTTGAACCACCAACTTTACAGTTCAAACCGACCTTGAGGCCCATTGCTTATCCTACAGCGCCACTCCAGGACTCAATCTTATTATAGTAATACCTGTATTGTAAGGGAGTCCTGCTGTGGCGCTGCGGGATAATGCGCCAGACCGCAAAGCTGATTTGAACTGCAAGTATCAGTCCCCAGCTGCTTCTCAGAAACTCTATATAGGGTTGCTATGGGTCAGAAGTGACTCGATGGCACTAACAACAACATATTTTAAGGAGAATGAGTTATTTATTTCTCACCATTTGTACTGATGCACACTGCTTGATCTCGCTGCAGAGAGTCAAACCCATTCTGTTTTTCTGCACACACTCCTATGCTGTCTCTTCTGTCTGGTTGTCCCACAGTTTCAACTCTGTAGAGAAAGTAGAAAGGTCATGTAATATTTACTTTTTAAAAACATGGTACTGAACAACTATTAACCTTTAAAAGAATGATCTCATCACAGTTATTATTTTCTAAATAATAATAGTTAACAATTATTGAGCACTTAACAATATTCCAGATACTGTTATAAAAATTTTCTGTCTCTCTTTTTCTCTCTCATTTAATTCTCCCAATAACCATGGTGGTGGGGGTGGTTGTATGCCACTGAATCGGTCCCAACTCATAGTGACCCTGTCTAGGGTTTCTGAGGCTGTCAATCTTCACAGGGGCAAAAAAGCTCATCTTCCTCCCTTGGAGCAGCTGGTGGATTTGAACTGCTAACCTTGTGGTTACCAGGCCAACACATAACCCACTATACTACCTGCGTTCCTTAACAATCTATGAGGTAGGTGCTATTATTATCATGCCCATTTTATAGATGAGAAAACTGAAGCATAGAAAGAAAAACAGTTTTAAAGACTGTAAAATAGTTTGACAATCACTTGGCTGATGAGTAATAAAATAAAGTAGAAAGGTTCTAGCTGATAATTTTCCCCCTATAATAAAATATGCTAAGACAAAAATATGGTCCAAAATAAAAGGAGTACTTTTGATGGCAATAAGAAAATAAACTTATTCCTAGTACAGTTTACTTTGGCTAACTCTGAGTGGATTTAAGTGACACAGTATCATTATCATCCAATCTCAAGCTTCCTTTGGCCCACAGTGAACACCTGGAGCAAAGATCCAAAAATTCAGCTAGACAGCCAATAAATACATGAAAAAATGTTCAAATTCCTAGCAAATATAACAAATAAGCATCAAAACGAAAATTTTATTTTGGTCTATCAGTTACAGACGGAGAAAAAACAGTAATACTTCATGTTCACAAGGATGCAGTGCTATCAGTGCATTCACACACTGCTTCCGGGAATGCAGCCAGCTAATCCACATTGTCACTAACAGGAAACTATCCCTAGGAAAAGGGGATAAGCCCTATGTCAACAACCAGGGCACAGCTTTACTTTGTAGGAGTAAGGAAGAGGCGGAGGCATGCCTTATCAAGTCATGGCAAAGGCCTGTTGATATAGGAATATATCCTTTTACTTACTACACTAATCCTAAAATACAATCTCTTAAAATGAAATCGATAACTCGAATAGTTCTGTATCTATTATAGAAATTGCAAGTCCTTCAACAAAAAAAACCCTCTAGGATGTCAAAGTCATTGATAACATCTATCAAACAATTAGGAGTCCTGGTGTAGCACTGTGGGCTAATGCGCTAGACTGCAAAGTCCTTTGAACCACAAGGTCAGTGATTCAAGCTCACCAGCCATTCCTTGGAAACCCTATACAGGGTCAGTATGGGTCAGAAACGATTCAACAGCACTTAACAACAATAACCAAACAATTAAGGAAAAAATATAACCAATCCCACACAAACTCTTCTGGAATATAAAAAAGGAAGAAACAACATCTAACTCATTTTCTGAG